TAGAGATGCGTGACTTTTCGGATTGATTAGACGAGTGTCGTCGGGATTTTGTTCGAGAATACAAGAGTGTTTAGATCTATAGTCCCGAACGCACTGCGCATGCCATCTGCCTTATGCGGCACGACATCAGCAGCCACGCCACCAGGCGACCTTGAGAAACAAGGCGCCGGAAACCAACGTTGTGTTGAGCTGAGTCGCGGGTCAGTCCCTTAGCCCTATGCATGATCAAGCTGATGTGTGTCTGCTCCCTCGTGTGTCAAGAAGGGTAGATTGAGGGTCGCATGAATGATTTTTTGCTCTTAATGATGCCTCTGGATATATGTGATTGATTGATATGTGGACTGACAAGCACCCTTCGATTGGGCGCCAGCCTCCCGTATCTCCCATCTCAACGCGACCTTTTCCCTACAGTGAGGAAAGGACACGTGTATGTGAGTGGGACGTACGAGAAGCCGTCGCACAAATCGGCRGGCAGTATTACTTCCCTYCGGCCAACCGTTGKTYTGGGTTCGTAGMCGCCGGATTTGTCATTATCGATACGCACTTTCCACCCTACTCGATATTGTTGCCGCTTAACGAGTTGATCGTCATTCCGTGGACGGCAGTGGCGCCCCATTGGCCCCGCACTCTGTGCACGGAGTGCCAGCGTTTCGATCGCTACGAAGCGGAGGGCTTCCTCTACCGAATACGGAGTGAGGACGAGCATGAGGAAAGAGCCACTCGGCTGAGACCATCCACGTCGGATTCGGAGCTGACCAGCGAATGACGACGAGATCTGATACGAAAACGAGACACGCGAAGCGTGCCAGAGCCTTTCCGTGCTAAACGGCGGGCTGTAGCCCGGTAGGAAGCCCGACAGTACTTTCTGGATTGAATTTGGATCTTTCTGTTTTCGCGCCATGTCCGCTCGTGCATTCCGCGACGCGCGAAACTAATTGACTTGCTTCATCGGACCATCATGGGGGATTTCAGTTCCATCTGTGTCCCCACACTTAATTTCCCAAAAATCCTTGGCACACCCCATCTTGCTGTTTTCCTGGGCCTCTTTCCGCACGTCTCACACTCCGAACGAAAGACAGCACAGGGCGTGAGGTTGGTATCGGAGTCGGTTCTGATGATAGTAAGTCGAACTGGCGAGAGGTAGGAGAGACCCTCAACTAGCTCGTCGAGATCGCCCCGTAACCAGGTCCCAGTCTAGTGTGGCTGCACCAGCAGTACCAATGGTGGACGGTACTAGGGTGATCGTTAGCATCCCTGGCCCTTTTCCCTTCTTCCCTAACCATACCCATTCCGAGGCCTGGCTGGAAGCTGTCGAAGCTCAAAACTACAGCTCAGCCGATCTTCCCCGTGTTCTGATATTACTACTTCGCAACACATCACATGACTGGTTTAGAAAACATACGTGGGTAGATTGGGATACTTTCAAGCGACCATTCTTGACTCGATTCGATACGGTTAGTGAAGATTCCGCCTGGTATGTACTCAAAAATCGACCACAAGGACCAGGGGAATTATTGCCCGATTTCGTCGATCGATTTCAAACCACGTTGGACAGATCCGGGCGAGACGAGAATTCTGCTCGAGACTTGTTTATTGATCACCTTCGAAGTCCGACCTTGAAAGGGAAACTGCAGAAAAAGGTTCCGCTGAAAACAACCCAGTTATCTGCTATCATCACTAAGGCGTTGGAGCTAGACTTGGCCGATACAAAAAAAATATATCAGCCAGGGAGACGAGGACATTACAGATACCATACGGGATGTAACGGCCAAAAGGCGATCATGGCTACAAGCAGTCGAACGATTTTATCCCCGCCCCGACCATGATCTTCCCGGCGGGATCGTTTCCGATATCCCGACTGCTTCTCCTCCATCTCCCCTGGTGAATCAATCGATCGCAGCCGTTAGAAGCGGAACTTCATGTGAACCCCTCTCGCCGACTGTAACTAATCTACACCTTGCCCAGATGATCCATATGGCTACTACCAAGCAGTCCGAATGGGTGAACAACTTGATCCAAATGCAGGCCGCTCATATGGAGCGGATGGAACAGATAATGAGCAGGCTCATTAAGCCTAACCCAACTCCTGCTCGGCCTGCCCCTGCATCGTTTTCACTCTTACCTGCCCCACCTGCTCCAGGGTTCGCGCCTCAGTTCCCTCATCTAGCTAATCCAGCAGGGAAGATCGAATGCTTTAACTGCAAGCAGCCCGGGCATTTCGTCCGAGACTGTCCGTAGCCGAAACGTAATCAGCCTCCCCCTGCTGCGGCCCCAGTCGCCCTTAATCAAGGACGAGTGGCCGCTCTGATGGACACGGACCAGGGAGGAAAGCTCGTAGCGTATGCTCCATAACAGCCTTGCTCTTCGACGATAATAGCGTCGACCTCAGGAGCCTCTTCCTCGGATGCTGCTGACGTGGTTGGTCCCCTCGAGTATCTCCATCTTGCCGGAATGATCGAAGCGATCCGATCGGCCCAAGATGATCTCGAATGGGTCGATCGCGAGTCCAATCCTGGACCACAGTTTCGGACAGGGGCTATTGATGTGCTGAAAACGCTCAAGCAATTAGATATTCGCGTCCCTATCCCAGTAGGGCATCTGCTCACCATATCTGAAGCGGCGAACGATAAACTTTTACAACACTGCCAGAAAAATCAAAAGCGTTTCACCTATCAACGCATACAACGAATGTTGAAGAAGAAAGAAGAAAGCGAGGAAGTCGTACCCCCTGAGCCTGACACGAAAAAGCCGGAACCTGAAGCCTCACGTATAGCAGCGATCTCTTTAGCAGAAAAAAGATCACTTCGTACGAGCTCGGCCGGTACTATGGAAAAGTGCAGAATGTGACTGTGAAGTGTGGGGCAAACCGTTTAATGCCCTTATTGACACAGAGTCTTCTGTCGTGGCCATATCATTGGATACTGTCAAAAAGACGGGACGACTGGGATCCATTCTTCCTCAATCTGGCAAAGACAATTATGTCTCTGCCGACGAGGAAGCAATGAACATCGTAGGCATTATCGAGAATATGGCCGTAAAAGTTGGACGAGTACACGTCCTTGTTAACGCGCTCGTAATAGATGTACGTTCCTATTCTGTGTTGTTGGGATTACCTTGGGCGATGGCGGTGGGCGCACGTCTGCATTTCGATTCGAAGCAACTGGTGCTCACACAAACTGGAGGAAAACCTCAAACTGTTCCTTTGCGAGTTTCCACCCGAACGATGAAAACGGTTCCCGACCCGGCCCAAATAGGGATGATCCGATACATTAATCCCGATGAATGCTCTCCCTCGCGCCTCGGGGATGAAATCAGGGAACAAGAATACGAAGAAGAGATGCCCAGTGAAGAGGAATGTAAATATCTGGTTGAACTTTTCGAACACGAAACCCCTGAAGAATTTCGAGTGTGCCCCGACACCGCTCGAAGTTTCCACGTGGATTCTGAAGACAGTGCATTCACACCTCTAACAACCCAGGTCAGTCCTTTAGTCGTCCTCGGGGAACCCATATTGCACCGGTAAGTGACGTACCTAATCTGATGCAAGAAATGACAGATCTAACAGGGCTAACTGTGGAACCGACTTCGGTTGGTTCAGAGACCGACGTTGAAACTAAAGAAACGGAGATGATCAGCTCTGTTGAGTCCCAAATGATAGCAACTGTCTTATCTGTGCGCACAAGTAGTTCCGTTTTCTCTAGTGTCAATGAGCGGCGGGAGCGGCCGGTTGATTGGATCGATATCCCCCTTAAGATGTCCAGGGAATCAACGATCACCCTCCCGAGTCACGTTCCCGCGGAACTACGAAAGTCGTTGATCCGTGTGTTAAATGGTTACGCAGATGTATTGAGCGTGCACGATAATGGCATAGCCTGACAAATATGATCGAGCATGCTATTCTCACGGGAGACCACCCACCCATTAACTGTGTTCCTTACCGATATTCGCCAACTCAACGAGCGGCCGCTTTTCAGCGGATTAAGGAGTTCGAAGCTAATGGATGGATCGAACCCGCTATAGGACCATGGTCTTTCCCTGCAGTAATCGTACCTAAAAAGGTCGGAGGGATTCGCATCTGCATTGATTATCGAAAGTTGAATGATATCACGATTAAAGATGTGTATCCCCTCCCCCGGATTGATGAGTTGTTTTGGATGCGATTGGGAGTGCTCGATTTTTCAGCAAGTTTGATGTTCGCCGTGGGTTCCATCATCTTTTTGTTCGAGAAGAAGATCGTCCGAAAACGACGTTTGTGCTTTTCGAGGGTACATGGCAGTGGATTCGATGTCCGATGGGTATCTGCAACGCCCCTGCGACTTTTCAGCGGGCCATGAACATGGCTTTTCAGAATTTCGTACGGAAGACTCGCCTGGCGCAGAGCATCATCAACTACTGCGTGATTGTGTACATGGATGATATCCTGCTGCATTCGAGTTCCTACGAGGGACACGTGCAACACATCGAGTGGGCACTGCATGCGTTACGAGATGCAGGTTTCAAGGTGGCGCTTGAGAAGTGTCAGTTTTGCCTCACCACCATTTCTTTCCTGGAGCACGTGGTGACAGACAAGGGACTCCAACCGGAGCCGCAGAAGGTGGCAGCTGTTAGGGACGCGCCAGTGCCTACCACTATCACGCAAGTTCGCGCCTTTCTGGGCCTAGCCTCGTATTACCGAAGATTTATCAAGGGCTTCGCAGCGATTGCAGGACCCCTCACAAATCTCATGCGCAAGGATCAGCCGTTGATCTGGACGCCGAAGTGCGATCAAGCGTTTTTCAAACTCAAGGCTGCTCTCATTTCGGCTCCGGTCCTTATAAGACCGGATCCCGAAAAGCCTTTTGTTCTCATCACCGACTGGCAGCCAGAGGCGATTTTGGCGATCCTTGCCCAGGTGGGACCAATCGGACTCGAGAATGTGGTAGAGTATGCATCCAAATCAGTACCCGCCTACAAGCGCAACTACGCCGCTCCGACGGGAGAATGCTATGCGGCTCTTTGGGGAATCAGTCACTTTCGTGCTTACCTGTACGGGCGAAAATTCACCGTGGTGACTGATCATGAGCCCCTGTTGGCTCTGAAGAAGTCGAAGGATTACTCGGGCATGATCGGGCGATGGGCAATGGTGTTGCAGAGCATGTACTTTGACATCCGCCATCGGAAGCACGAGAGACACGGGAATGCGGACGGGCTGACACGTCTGCATCGGCCTGAAAAGGTTCCAAAGGGTGAGGAGGTGATTCCGTGGAACGAACCCGAACAGGAGATCGGACCTCGGTACGACCAAGTGGAGATCTTATCGAAGCAGTAAGTGGCACGAGGACTAATTGTTATGTTCTACCCTCCCTGCATCCTCTCCTCCTCTAACATCATGGCTACTCCACTCGCCTCCGCAACCCCTTCATCTCCTGCTAATTCTGCCCCTCTCACGTCCTCCGCTTTCTTTGCCACCCTCCCCGATAAATTCTGTTATTTTTGCACGTGTATTGCACGTGTTTATGGGGTTGACTGTCATCCCTTCGAAACTGGGTTTGTCGATTGGGTATAATGTGCCACGTGTGTCAATCGTGCGCACGGGGCCTGCGTTCGATATCGGACGAGTAGCAAGGAATGGAGGTGCCCCCTGTGTAGAACGAACAAGCTCCCCACGGAGGTTCGATTCAAGGCCGCCCGTACGGACGGTCCTGAATACGACGAGAAATACCGACAGGCGGAAGTCTGGACGGATAAAATTTGATTGGCGGGATTATCATTGGGCCATCTCACCGAACACGACAGACGTAGGGCGACCGAGAGATCTCGGGACTATCGATGGATCAACGGTCATTTGGAAAAGCGTAAAACTGACGGATGGGGTTCGTGGCTGACAGTCCCCCATCCCTTCCAGAGATACGATTGGATCCGATCTGCTCACGAGGAACAGTGCCAGCCATAGCTTTGTCCCCATCGTCCGACATACCTCCTACCTCCGTCTTCTTCCTCCTTCCGATTGTCTTCCCTCTTCTTCCTCGGAAAGCGAGGAGAACGACGACGATCTAACTTTCTACCGTCTTTCTCCCTCTTATCCTTCGTCCTCCTCTCCAACCTCGCCATGAGTTCTATTACGGACGCGGGTCTTGACATTCAGCTGTTGCAGCCACGTGGCCACATCTCAGAGATTCGGGAAGTTTGTCACCCTCGACTCAATACGGATCTTCGACGTTTAATGCGATTCTTCTGCGACGAAGGTATCTGTGCCGCTACCACGTTTCGAATCGAAGGAAGTCCTCGCGCAATAGTGTTCGCGGAGGTTACCACAGTTCATCGGCGAGCGGGTCCCAGAACGAGCCACGTCACCACAGTGGCGGGATTCACCGGCGACATCAGCTCGGTCAATCCGCTGCGGCATACCGCGATCTTGGCCTCGCTGCGCGAGTGGACGGAGCAAGGGTCCAACGTATGGCAGCACATCCTCGCCCGGGAGGGGTATAACATCATCCCGATCTTTGCATCGGATCTGGACGGTATTCACCGATCACCTCGCGAACGGCCAGTTGCGATCCCGACCATTGTCTCCTTCCCCCATCCCCAATGAACCACGCTGTTCGTCTCGCTCCTCTCTCTACCTTTGGTCTCCCCTCTCTCTTCCCCACCTTCTGGCAATTCGATCTTCACCCTTCTCTTTCCTTCTCGTTGGAGCCTCTTTCAGTCCCTCTTATCATTCCTGGACATTGGCGATTGTGACGCGAAACTTTTGAGGAGCTGTCCTTTTGCTTGGCCAGAGTACAGGTGACGTGGACGGGCACTAGCGAGCATCCCACGTGGATCGAGAATCCGGAGCTGTTGATCATA